GTCCCTGCTTTCTCCCATGTATACATGTTATTAAACTTGGTATTATTTTCTCCTGCTAACCTGTCTTGTTAATTATTTGGCCAGCCGTAAGAACCTTAAGGGAAAGGGCAGAGGGAGATTCTCCCTCTTATCCTGACAACTGCAAATGGCTCTAAAATAAGGAGGGGAAGGTTGCAGCGGGTGGGATACAGAAAATAAGACTGACCATAAGTGGATAATTGCTAAAGCTCAATGATGAACATATGGGGGTTCATTTTACAATTCTCTCTAACTTTTATGCTATGAAGTGTAAACAAAAAGTCTGTTTAAAAGCTGATGCATTGGGCCGGCCCCGTGGCTTAGCGGTTAAGTGCTCGCGCTCCGCTGCTGGTGGCCCGGGTTCGGATCCCGGGTGCGCACCGACGCACCGTTTCTCTGGCCATGCTGAGGCCGCGTCCCACATACAGCAACTAGAAGGATGTGCAACTACGACATACAACTATCTACTGGGGCTTTGGAGGAAAATAAACAAATAAATTAAAAAAATTATTAAAAAAAAAAAATTTAAAAAAAAGCTGATGCATTTTTTTTCATAGGCTTGCCCCAGCCCTTTGCCTATTTGTTCTTACACAGTCATTCAAAGTCTGCAGCAAATTAGGAACTAAGGAAAGCAGGCACACACAACAGAAGGAAACAAAGGCTGAAGATCTGACAAATAAATGAGGAAGAAAAAAGTATGAAAAGTAGTTATGAAGTGGGTTCCATATCTTACTTGGAAAATGGTTCTGGAAACAATTAACATTTGGAAAAAGCTGAGTTATGCAAAATTAAGCAGGAGTGTTTACCTTCTGACTTTTCAAGTCATTTAGATTGTGATTCTCAATGGAATATACAAAATGCAGCTTTTCATAAACTTATCTGACAAGAGAATCCTTTGTTAAGGGAGCTTTTGTAGAACCAGTGTTCTGTAAAAACAGTGAGAGGAAAACTGACCTAAGGTCAGAAGAGTTCAAGCTGCAATCCTAGTGTACCTTACATTTTTAGTAGCCACAATGATAAAACTAATCTATAAAAGAATGCTAAAACCAAGTTTACTAATGTTTGTAATAACCACAGTACACAATGTTTAGGCAGGAGTTACATTAGAGGACCACAAAAACAACAACAATTGAAATCTAATTTTTAGAACTTATAGGGAAAAGACTGCTATTCCTTTAACTCCTGAGTTCAAGCCTCAGGGCCACTGTCTCACAAGCTTCAGATACCGATTTACTAATTCTGGTAGCAGTGTCCATCATATAGCAGTACTTAATAATGATTAAGTAAATTGTAAAAACACACGCAAAGACTGCTATGTACATCATTTGATTTCTCTTGATTGAATCCACTTATTGCTCTTGCTATAAATTTAACTATTTACTCAGTCAGTCTCATCAACTTCTGACTGCTGATGCTGCACTATCCTCCACGAACCCAATTTTGTGCTTCTAACTTCAGGTCTAGAGGAGAACTTTGCAGGAATGCATAAAGATACATGCACCCCTATGATCACTGCAGCATCATTCACAACAGCCAAGACTTGGAAGCAAGCAACCTAGGTGCCCATCAAGGGACGAATGGATAAAGAAGATGTGGCATATATACACAATGGAATACTACTCAGCCATAAGAAACAATGAAATCCAGCCATTTGTGACAACATGGATGGACACTGACAGTATTACGCTGAGCGAAATACGTCAGAGGGAGAAGGTCAAATACCATATGATCTCACTCATAAGTAGAAGATAAAGACAACAAACAATCACATAGAGCTAGAGATTGGATTGGTGGTTACCAGAGGGGAAGTGAGGAGGGAGGAGGGTGAAAGGGATTATTAGGCACGTGTGTGTGTGTGGTGACAGATTGTAATTAATCTTTGGGTGGTGAACATGATGTAATCTATACAGAAATCGAAATATGACGTACACCTGAAATTTGTATAATATTATAAACCAATGTTACTGCAATAAAAAACAAAAAAACCAAAAATCTAAAAAAAAAAAGGAGGAGAGTTTTGAAATCATTTACTCTGTCTTGTTCTATTCAGTTTCACTGATTCACCAATCTTTCCTTTTTCTGGAAAAAACCACAAGAATAATATTAATAATAGCTAACATTATGAGGGCTTACTATGTCCCAGGCACTGTTCTAAGTATCTTACAAGTTTTCAATCAGTGAATCCTAACAAGTACTGGGAGTTGAGGCATGGGTGTCAAAAATGTGCCAGTAGAACAAGATTCTCTTTCCTTTTGATATAAAAAGCTATATACCTCTTTCTGAGTTTGGGACTGTAGAGTTTAATCTTTGGGACTTATTCTTATAAAATAGGAAACTTAACTGTCTCTATTCTGAAACTGGATCCTGGTTTCTTACAAAGGTATAGGAACAATTCAGAGTAGGAAAATAACATTCTAACCAGTCATGGAAAGAGGCTACTTTTTCTGTCCTTTTTGGGTACTTATCCAACTTTAGTACGCTGGGGTAGTGACAGACAAACAGAAAAATAGAAAATAACACAGTAGGAACCATCTTCCAACTAACCAGAGTCAAATCATAACCATCTTAACCCAAAGCTAAAAGTGTTCTGTTTATTATTATTATTTCTTAAAATACTTCAATCTCTTTCCTGGGAAAACTTCTCTCTTTTCAGTCATATTTGATTGTCTCAACTACCTTATTCCTGTACTTCCATTTTGAAATACTATGCATCTATTGATTATAGAAAGACAAAGTCATTCAATCATCTAGGACAATGGTTCAGAAAATAAGAACAATAAAATATTTTAAAATAAACATTAGCAAAGATTGACAATTTTCTTTTCTTGGGATGATCTATCATTTAACTCGAGTCTATATCCTCCTACATTTTTGTTGTTAAAATTTCCTTTATTTTATACAATGATGGTGAGGGTACATGGCAATCTTTTTTGTACTTTCTAAGCATTCTTTCTCAACAAAATTAAAAATTGGTACCCCTGTGTCAAACACACTAATTTTTAAATTCCTAAACCTTAATGTTCCCTGAAATCCAGAAGTTTGAAAATCACTGCTTTAGCCTATATCCTGCTTGTATAAGATAAGCTTCAATTTAATTTTCTATTCTCTTCTAAAACAGAATGTTACAAAATTTTAAGAAATTTTTTGGTTTAAGGAAATGTTTATGGCTTAACAACTTCTATAACAAATGTTTTTCATAGCAATGGTAGTTGTTCCTTTAGCCTATTAAGTAAATCTAACTAAAATGGTATTTATCCTGAAAAGGTAACTCTCATCAGATCTAACATGACCAAAGTTATTTTATCACTTATTCAACCTTCATATAATTCAGTGTTAAAAGTCTTTTTTATACATTAATTCCTGGTCTTTTGAATTGATTGCTATGCATTTTGGAAAATATATACATCAGATATATCTGACGTGGAAAAAGAAAGACTCAAGAAAGAAGAGTCAATAGGTCTTACCAAGAGCAAAACTTTCAAAAATTATTTAAGAGGCAGGGGGAAGCAGTACATATATTTTTAATACATATATTTTTTAAGTTGTCACTAAATCCACAAACTTGGTAATATTTTAACCACTTGTACAATAACAACTATCGTTTTAAAATGACTACTTCCTAGAAAATAAACAGAATGTAAAGAGATGGTACTCAAGCTATCTAACATTGCACTGAAAATAGTCACTGAAACCATCATTTAAAAGAAGCTTATTCTAACTTGTACTCAACAATACCCTTGAGAGAAAACTTGATCAAAGATCTATTTTTTCAATATAACATTTATACATACATGTTTTATAAGAAAGTTTCAAACTCCCATCAATTATAAATTACTTTTTACTTTTACAAAGATCTTTAAATGAAAGATTATTCAAAATTAGACTTAAAAAAACCAAACTCTAGGATCAGGAATTTCTATTCTATAAAACTATCCACTACCCACCTCCTTAACCTAAAAACTAGGTTATTCCAGGGTCTCAGCTGAACTCTTTTCTGAGACTTATCAGATCCACAGTCTTTTACTGGTTACAATGCCCCAAGAGCAACTCATACCAGGTAAACCCCCAGCAATGGACCACTGTGCCTGCAGGGAGTATTCACTACAAAGGGGATAAATCAATTTAGAAGGTTTTTCAAAACTTATTTAGACCACAATCAACTTAAAACTTCTGAAAAGCATCTCACTCGTCCATGCACATTAGATTAACTGTTTGGAACTCAACGCATTTTTCCAAGGATAAAATGGTATGTTCTATTTCTCTACAATCCCAAAGAAAGAACACACAGGGCTAAAAAGGTTCCTATGAATCCCCCCACCTCATACGCATTTTCCTTTTTTTAATCTTTTAAACTCATTTGAAAAACAAGTTGCATATACTCATGGTCATTCTTTGGAAAGACAATTCAAGATACATAGTTTAAGACAACCATAGTAAAAAGACTCTAAAAGCTAGAGCTATATATCATGTCTTGGGCAAAAAGTTGTAGAGGCCTCGTTGGGGGTATGCTGAGCTAGGGACATTTGTTTAGAGCTCAGCCTCCTGTTACTAGGAAGCAGCAGAGGAGGGATGGTTAAGAAGGGCAGCCATCAGGATTGTATCTCAGCTTCTACCTTATCCCTCACAACTCAGCAGACCCTGTTCTGGGCCAGCTAAGAAAAAAGATAATGAAAAGCAAGATGGCCCTATCTCCTATGAAAGAGAAAAGAAGGAAAATTTTTGGTGTCTCAAGACAACACAACTTGACATTCAACTTGGTGACTAACTATATATTCTAATTATATCATGTTACACACAGAATTTTCTAACTGCTTTAGGACATTCTTTGTGGCCAGGAATTCCATTTCATATGTTTTATCTATTGTCAAAGTGTTAGTTATTTAGTAAGTAAGAAAAAATCATTTACATTAAAACTTAAAAGCAATATTTATAAAACATTTGTATCTGACTTTTCAATAAATTAGATTATTTATAATACTTACTGCTTCAGCCTCTGCTCTTGTCTTGAATGTAATTACTGCATGAAGCGAAGAGTCATCAATCTGACAATCTTCAATTTCACCATATTGCTTTAAATTAAAAAAAGTATTTCCTCCAAATAAATATTTTGAAAAATCCAAAATCCTAATGGTTTTTAAAATATTAAAATACCAATAAATATAACCCAGAATACGTAACAATTCATGAGGATCAACATAAAAAAATGGTGACTAAGTCATTTTAGTACTTGATATTATAAGATAAAGGAAGGTCCTATCTTCCAATATTATTTATAATTCTACATTTCTTAGAATAAGAAAAACTGTACTTGACTGAACTATTCTTTAAATAAAGGAAACAACGGTCAAAGACTGAGCTTCCTTATTGCCCTTCCTTTCATACTCACTATCCCCATCGCAGAATATGCTAAATTCTTTCTAAAGCAGCATATTTAATCCTCAAAACATTCGATGAGTTTTTTGTATCATTACCAATTTAAAGATGGGGGGAAAAAAGATTCAGAGACATTAAGTAATTTTCCCAAAGTAATTAAGTTAGTTACCAGGATGAGAGTCCAGGTCTTTTAATTCAAAAGTTGAACACTCTAACTGACCCTGCTTTCATTCTTACTACATACGCCACTAGACCATACACTCTTTTAGGACATTTAAAAGCTAAACATTAAATTATGCTTGTTTTTGGTTTGTTGGATTTTATTTTTTTCATGTGTAGAAGGATTTGTCTACAAACAGCAACCTTTATCATATAAAATTCTAGTCCTTTATATATCATTAGTAGTAATACCTTCCTTCTTTCCCACCGAAAAATAAAATTATAACCACAATCTCATTAAATACACACATACACACACACACACACACTCTATACAGAAAAATTATATATAGTAGAGAATGGACTCGAGAATCAATCAGATCCCAACTCTGTCAGTTACTAGCTGTGTAAACTTGAATAAGTTACTTAATCTCTTCATGCTTCATTTTCCTCATCTCTAAAATGGTATGCATAATAGAGGCACCTACCTCATAGAGTTATAAAAATAACTCATAATATAATGAGTTATATAAAGCACTCAGAATAATACCTGCCACAAAATAAGTGCTCTATTAAGTTTTAGCTATAATTTTTATTACTACCGACACTGGTCCCAGTGGATAAATTAAAGAAAGCATTTTGTTAATCACAATTTGTAATAGTCAATGGTCCTTTAATAACAGGTTTTTTCTGATACCTGTCATATGTTCAAATCACAGGTTGAGAAAGAGAAGCTGAACTTTAAAGCTGTACACTTAAAGACTGACAATTTTTAAATGCGCATTACCACTACTAAGTTTCAGCGGAGTTTGAGTCTTCAAAAGCACACAAGAATCTCCATTTAGAGGCTCTGATTGTTTATAAAACCAAAACCATCTTAGTCTCACCAAAACACATTCCTAACAAACTCACCATGTTTGTTCAGATTATTCTGGCATATTCTTTGCTAGTTTCCTGATTAGCTGTATAACTATATGCAACACACCTAAGTTATCTGGATCTCCTTCCACTTGTGAAAGGTGTGGAAGTGGGGTGCAGAGCAGGGAAGAATTGCGCTAGATTATCTCCAAGCTCCTCTCTAGTTCTCTGATTCCTTTCTTTCTCCCTTTGAAGCCATCAGGCATAGGACTTTCCAGACTCCTCATCCTTAAATATTAATCATTTTAGTTATTTCTTAAACATACACCATTTCTTTCAATACCTCCCTATGTCCTGACAAAGTATAATTTCACCTTTGTAACTGCTATTAACAGCCTGGAATATGATTATCAAACAGTTAAGTCTGAATTTGCAAAAGGTTAAATGATTTGTGTACCTATCTACAAACTTAACTATACTTCAAGCTCTAAGCTTCAGTTTTACTACCTCATGAAACTTTCCTCTGTTGCTCTTTTTCCATCATAAGCCTTACTTCTCTAAGTTACCGAAGAACTTATAGTTTTTAATAAATTTAACTTGATTAAAAATTATGTTTGTAGTTTACTTGAACTGGTTTGTATTAAACCCATATATTCAAAATCCTTGAAAGTAAAGAAGTGGTTATTTCCTTCATATCTCCAGAGCAATTACTATAATGCTGAGGGCAAGACTGATGCTTAGTAACTAACCTTTGGGATACCACTAAGATTCAGAACATTTAAGTTGAAAAGGCCTTTAGGCAGATATAATCTCCTCTCTGGACATGAGCCCAACGGATCCCAGGAAGTCCAAGTTAAAGACTGGAATAGCAAGGACTAAAATCCCATTCTCCTTTCTCATAGGTCAGTCTATTACCTTTAGACTGATTCCCTTTAATTATACCCTGGCACTGACTAAAGCAACTTCAAGATCATATACCAAAATTTTGTCTTATTTCACTTCTAGGTCAGCTAGATCAAGAATACAGTCTTAACAAGTAAAATTACATCGTAATAGAAAAAAAAATCTGGGTGATACAAAGTGTTAAATTTTTCCTTAAAAGTAAATATCAAATGAAACTAAACTATAGGACCTCCCTCTCTGAAACAATAAAATTTAAATCATTCATTTCACAATATCTGAAGACCTACTAAGTGTAAGAATAGTAACATTTCTTCCAGATAATAAACAAAAAAAACCCCTACAGTTTGTTTTTTAAATAATTAACAAAAGATTATTATAGATTAATCAAACCCCTTGGTCAGACTAATGGGTTTAAATTACTCATGCCATTTTCATAATTTCCCCTTTAATATCCATTATCCCCAACAATGGTTATCAGTATTTGTTTTACTGCGCAGTAAGAAAGTACCGCAAAGTGAGGAAGAAGATCTTCTCTATCACTCTCTGTAAATGCAGAAATCTCCAATGCCCTGGGACGGTGATCCACCACAGCATGACCAGGCACACCTCGACCTCGACCTCGACCTCGGCCTCGGCCATGAGCTGCACCTCGACCTCTTGAATGAATTCCTCTACCACGACCAGATGAAAGAATCCCTCGTTTTGCAGCCTAGAAGACATTAGACACACAGATTAAACATCACAATCACTATAAAGTGTTATACTCTGTCACGAGTCACACTTATACAACTGGACATCATATTCAAATAATGCCCTATAAAAGGATCTCATAATTTAATAAAAACTAAAACTATGGTTTTAGTTTTTAAGTGAAAGCAAATTTAGGTAGCCAATGAAACTAGAAAACAAAATAACGTTAATTTAAGCAATGTTTTGAAATTACTAAATGTGACTTTTTCTACTAAGTTCTTACTCCCCAAGACATCAGACTATATAACAAAAAGACAAGCAATTCTTGATTTCCAAATAATACACAGTGCTAGGTGTTACTTCAGAAGTCAGTTTAATATAGATACCTAATATCTACACACACAATAAATGTATTTTTCCAGTTATGACTTTCAAATACAGTGTTCTAATCGTTTGCCTGTTGACTTCAGTAGGTACATTTATCTCAAATTCATCATTTTGATCACTTACACTAACATCATTATACAATCAACGTAGCATAGTAACTTATATTCCCCCACATCACTCTATATGAATAGCACACCATTCCTTCATTCCACAAATATTTAATGGGAAGACTTCCTGTGTGCAAGTCCTTACCCTTATGAAACTCAAATCCTAGAGGGGTAAAGAGACATTAAGCAACCAAGTTATTTAATTAATGAGAAGTGACTCAAAAAGTGAGGAAATGCTTTAAAGATTTGAACATTAAGGATTTGCAATGAATAAACTACTAGAATGAAAGTTCCATGAGGATTTTTTTTCCCTATTGTATTCTCTTCTTTATCCCCAGCACCTACATTAGTAGCTGGCAGATTGTAGATGCTTAATATTTGTTCAATGAATCAAAGAAGGAACAAAGAACAAGCAGGGCATGGTAAGGGGTGGGGGTTATAGCATGAACAAAGGAAACAAGGCTGGAAGGAACACGGTACTACTTCAAAGAATGCATAACATCCAGTGCAGCTGGACCACATGGGACAGAGAGATGACGCTGGGGAGAGAGGCAGAGCCAGATCATGAACAACTTTAAGGACCACATAAAGGATTTTGATTTTGATCCCAAGAACCATGAAAATCAATTAAAATATTTTAAGTAGAGAAGCAGAGTGATGTAATCAAATCAGTGTTTAAAACATTATTCTGGTTAGTTTTAAGACAAGAGCAGAAGGAAGACGAGAACAAGCTGAGAAACCAGTCAATAGGCTACTACAGAAGTCCCAGCAACTGAAGATGAAAGCTTGGTCTGTAGTGGTAGCAATGGAGATAGAAAGAAGTAAACACATTTAAGACCTATTTGGGAGTAAAATGTATAAAACTTGGTAATTAATTGGATATGGATACTGAAGGAAGAGGAATCAATGAGGACTCCCAGATTTCTGGTTTGGGTAATTGTGTAGATGGAATTTAGGGGTAAAATAAGCACAATTTTGGACACATTGAGTCTCAGGATATGAGACATCCAAGTGGAAATGTCAAGCAGGCACCACTGTCAAATCTCTGCAAGTATAAATATTTCAGTTTATCTCAAGACAGTTCTTAACATTAGCTAAAAGAATCATCTAAAATCCAAATAATAAACTTCAAAAGTCAAGGATTAATGTTAATAACAGAGCAGCATACACAAAAGAATGCTCTGAGGAACGGTAATGTCTCAAAATGCTCCCTGAAAAAGGGAGTCCATGGACAAATAAGTTTGAGCAATACTGAATATTTAATAAGTATTTTTGGATATTTACAAACTAAAAGCCTCTAAGAAACCCTATAGTCAAAAGGCATGTTTAGGGGGCTGGCCCGGTGGCATAGTGGTTAAGTTCACGTGCTCTGCTTCGGTGGCTCGGGGCTCGCAGGTTCGGATTCCGGGCACGGACTGACACCACTTGTCAAGCCATGCTGTGGCAGCGTCCCATATAAAGTAGAGGAAGATGGGCACAGATGTTAGCCCAGGGCCAATCTTTCACAGCAAAAAGAGGAAGATCGGCAACAGATGTTAGCTCGGGGCTAATCTTCCTCACACACACAAAAAAAGGACAAGTTGAATATAACCTTTTCGAAATTTGGCCTCAGCAGCTTTTTTTTTAATAATACCTACTAACAAAAAATGGAATTGGTGTGGTGAATAGACACACTCTGGGAAATAGTTACTATATTACAACATATTACAAACAAAAGGTTAGCTGTCAAAAGTAAAACATAAAATGCCATTCATTGATAAAGAACCAAAACATCGACTAATAGAGAATATTAATAATACTATTATTTATTTGCTAAAACTATGGGACAAAATTTTCAAGATGACAATTTGTTTCCTGAAGTCCCAACAACACAGGCATGAAATCTCTGGAATAGGGAAAACAATTTCTATACTAACATAAAAGAAATCTATCTTTTTCAAAACCTATTATCTTGAGCAGGACACACAGGCAACCATATCAAGTTTCCACAGAATGCAAAAATGTATGCAGGTTTAGGACACCATCCTATGGTTTCCTATGACTGTTAGACAAGATAGAGCCTTAAGACAAGCACAGTGGCTGCTAAATGTTAAGTCTTTAATACCGGGATGCCAGTACTCAACACAGATTTGTACTAAGTCAGAAAAAAATGATCAAGTTGTTAACAAATTTCAAAAAAAGTATTATTCTCAGATTAAGCAAAACTAATAATCTAAAATATACAAAATTTAAATTGCAGCATCAAACAATGACAAATATAGACAAGTACCAACTACATTAATGATATTAAAGTCTCTGTACTTCAAAATGTAATTCTGATTTTGAAACATCTTTTTGCTAAATGTTAAAAATTCTCACGTACAGGGAGCAACTTCACTAGGAGATTCTTATATAAATAATCATATAACTAAATTATAAGAAAGTTTATTTTCTCTTTTATAAACATCCACAGCACCCTCTATAGGCAAAGCTTAAATAAGCATGTTCTTCAATATACTTGTACTACTAAAACTCTGATCCTTATAGACAATATAATATGCCTATATATGTGCAGAATATATCTCCATAAAAATACCTGAAAAGCTTTTAATAGATTTTGGTCCCAGGGAGAAGGACAGATCAAAAACAGAAAAGGAACAAAATTCACTAGAAGTAGAGGGACTCAGGTGTATATGTAGAAGTGCTGCCACCCCTCATTAAATATTTTCTCTACGAGCTTTGAAAAATTTGTTAGCCTCTTTCCTCTTTCCTATATCAACTCCCAATATGTATGCCATAATCTAATTGCTGACTAGAATGAGGAGAATATATTTTCAAATTAACCACCATGACTACATCTGCTCCTCTTTAGCATACTGTGTAGCTGGGAGGAAACATACTTCCAGCTGTAATTCTGTATACTTTCTCCTAAGCTCAGTGACTTCTTCTCCAGCTTGCATCTTCTTATATAAATCCAGTTCTGTGTCAAGCAATTCTTTCTGCATCTAAAAAATAATAATTAATATTTTAGGTGACAATAATTAATATCCTGCATTTATACAAAAATTTTTTACAAAGAACTTTTACACATGCCCATTTAATCCATACATTTCTTCTCTATCTCCAGTCCTACCACCCTAGTCCAAGCCATCAATCACTTCTGGTCTACACTACTGCAACAGCTTCCTAACTTGTTCCTACTTCCACTGATTTCCCTATAACTCATTTTCCATACAGAAGCCAGAGTGAGATTTCTATGGACTGATATGCAGTAATTTTTGGGAAATAAATGAAAAGAGAAACAAAAAACCAAGGTGTTAACAAGCAATACATAGTATGCTTTTATGTAGGGAAGAGTACATACACACACCAAGAAGGAGAAAAGAGTGAGGATTTTTTTGTTGTTTTTTTTTTTCTAAGGAAGATTCGCCCTGAGCTAACATCTGTTGCCAATCTTCCTCTTTTTGCTTGAGAAACACTCGCCCTGAGCTAACAGGTGTACCAATCTTCCTCTATTTTGTATGTGGGTTGCCGCCCGAGCATGGCTGCTGATGAGTGGTGTAGGTCTGCACCCAGGATCCGAATCCGGGCCACCGAAGTGGAGCGCACCAAACTTAACCACTAGGCCATGGGGCTGGCCCCCTAGTTTAACTTTTGCATCATGTTAATGTTTTACTTTCTTAAAAAATAAAATTAAATCAGCAAGAATGAGGGGGAATGGGATCCAAAACTAAATACAAATAGAAATATATCTAACTTCATCAAACTGATAACATAACTACATAAAAGAAAAAAAAAAGTAATCATAGAACACAGTTCTGATTCTATACCCTTAGTGGAATATATTGCAGGTTGTAAAAAATGCAAAACAACTCTGAATTTTATATTTAGTTGTTGGAAGTAGTATTGTTGCAGCAATTCTGGAACTATTTGGAATGTATTATAGGACTACACAAATGAGTATTGTATTGATGTTAGTAGGAACCAAGTTGTCATTATGAGAACAGGGACATAAAATATGGAATAAGAGAAGGAAAAGCAGAACTCTGTGGTGTTGGATTAGAATCAGAAATATCAGTATGAACACGATTTCTTATATATACACACACACGAAGTATAAATATTGTATAATTGTTTTTTTAAACACTTTTTATCATCTGAAATTATCTTACTTATTTGTAGCTAATGGATTAATCTCCCTGAATTTTCCCCCTTTCAATCAATTCATTCTGTACAGTGCTGTCAGAATGTTACTTCTCTGTTCACTAACCTTTTATACCACCAACTACTTACAAAATAAAGCTCAAACTCCTCAGTCAAGCATTCAAGTACCTATATCATTTTGCCCTCAACCTACCTTTTCAAGATTATCCATAACTATTCTAATTACTGACTTTCCAACTGTAATCCATAGGATTCAAAAGATTAGTCGAGTCTACTTGTTTGCATTTATTTACTTAATAATTAATGAAGGAGAGGGACAATGATCGCACACAACAGTCGGATTTTGAGCAAAGGGTATTACCTAAAAAGAAAACTGAATCTTAAACAAAGATGTATCTTTTTAACGTTGGGTTTTTTTTTTAATTTTATTCATTTTATTTTTCCCCCCAAAGCCTCAGTAGATAGTTGTATGTCATAGCTGCACATCCTTCTAGTTGCTGTATGTGGGACGCGGCCTCAGCATGGCCGGACAAGCGGTGCGTCGGTGCGCGCCCGGGATCCGAACCCGGGCCGCCAGCAGCAGAGCACATGCACTTAACCGCTAAGCCACGGGGCCAGCCCTTAATGTTGTTTTTTTTTTTAATAAGTAGTAACACGAGTAACAACACAAATTAAAATACCTGAGTTTTGGTTTTGATACTTTTTGGAAGACAGCGTCCAGGAGAGGCAGCTTTGACCTCATCTTTCAACTTAGTAATATTTTTTGTCAAAACCTCTAAAGTTTTCATTATTTCTGCTTTATCTTCAGACTTCATTGCTTTGTTTTTCTCCAGTTTTGATATTAACATCTGCCAAATTTTTAAAAAGAGAAAAATATAAGATATTTATTCTTACTATTATTAAGAAAGCAAACACAGAAAAGTAAATATAAAAAGAAATACTACTTTTAGTTTATGTATTCACGACAAGGCTTACAATCACTGACACAGCAGAATAACAGATTTGGTGATGCTAACTATCTCAACTCAAGTCTTAATTTTGGTTTACTTGTAAAGAACTATACTACTATTTGGGTCTCTCAGAACATAAGTTCAAAGCACACAACCATAAGAAATTCAATTCGATCTCTGAAAAGTTATCAATTTAAAATATCAACAATTTTACTTTTTAATCCATTTGTTGATACTACTGTCTCTTAGTATCCCCATTTCAAATGTAGTCTGCAACTGAGAAAGAAAAAGAGGAAAAGTTTTATGGCTCCCTTCATATAATGAGATATTAGAAAAATGGAATATTTAATTACTTTCTTTGTCACAAGGAATGGTAACTGGCTAGCCTAAGAATGACATTTTCAACAGGGATAGGAAACAAGAAGATAAACAAGGTAATATGGGGTGGAAGACACCATACAGTATTATAGGTTCTCTGAGTCAAGATGGTTTCAGTTTTTGGTATAAAGCATTGTGATCTGCCTTTATCAAGTATATCCAAATTTAAATTAGAAAAGACATACATTTTAAACAAAAATGTAAAAAAAGTTTCTGTATTTTCAATATCTTAAGATGTCTTAACCTTTATCAGCAGACATAATCAAGAAGTAACACTGATTAAATGTGATAAACTAGAGCAACACTGTACAAGAGATATTGCAAGCCACATAAGTAATTTTTAATTTTCTAGCAGCCACATTAAAAAGAAACAGTAAAAATTAATTTACTAATATATTCTATTTAACCCAATATATCCAAAATGGTACATTTCAACAAAAATTATTGAGATGTTTTACTTTTTTGCTTCACACTATGTCTTCAAAATCTCGTATATATTTTACACTTACAACACATGTCAATTTGGACTAGACACGTTTCAAGTACTCAACAGTCGGATGCGGCTATTAGCTACTGTACTGGACAACAGTGTACTAAAGGATCCCAAGCCAATTAAAAAAAGGTACATATCTCAACATTGAGAAATAGGTTCTGTTTTACTACCTTTTCAACAAACTACCGTGCAGCAACATACCTGGATAAATACTCCTTATTTTCATTTCAAGTTGACAACCACAGTTCCATTTAAACTACAACCACAGTTCCATTTAAACTAATCTAATTCCCAATCCACCATTTAATGTATGCTCTTCATCCCCAATACATTATCGACTGATATATACATTATCATGGATAAACATTTCAGTTTTATCAGTAGCAATTACAGTAAATGTTTCTCAGGACAATCTATATAGTCTAAGATTAAACTCATTCAAAATTATAACATCTATAAATATATTTTTCCAAATCTAACTTTAATATTTTACCTTCTGTGTTTCAATGTGCTTTTCCAAAATTTCTTGTTTCCTTTTCCTTACATCCTGCTGAAGTTTCAATGCCTCCTAGAGAAAGGGATCAAAAATATCATTAGAATATTTACTGTTTATTTTCTCGATAAACAAAATTATTCAAGATGAGAGAATAATTATAACTGTAGAAGCTTGGCAACGAAAATTAAATGCAAAGTTTTGCTATGTAAAACTTAAATATGTATGCAAGTTTCAAAGATCAATCAGGAGAACCTTTCCCTCCAAGCAAAAACTAATATTTACTGCTACACTCTGGGAAATGAAAGTGTAGTGGCTGCACACCTTTCTTTTCTATTTTGTGATAAGCACTGAAAAAACATATACATGGAGAAAAGCTTTCCTACAGGCAAAATTTGTACACTACTACCTATACTTACCTGTTTTTTCTTCTGCGCTTCATTATTATCAACTGCAGAGGTGGAAACAAGTAAGGTTTTTTGTGCAGCCTTCAACGCAGCTGGATTATACACCGTTTTTGTTAGGCCAGTAGATGTAGACAACACCTACCAATACAAATTCAATTTCTTAAACAATGTATCAAGAGCATTCATGATTTCCTAAGTCTTGTTTTCTACAAAATTCAACTTTAAAGCACTCCTGTCAAAATTCAGCATGTTGAACTAAATGTATTATATACATAAAGTAACTAAATCACATTTAGTGATTTGAAAGGAAAGGTATGAATGAGGGATAAAACTATAAAATGAAAAAATTTTAAATTAACACCATATACCTATAGGGAAAAAAAGCAAAAAAGCACATAAAAACTTCAAGAAAAAACATTGCCATTACTGTATCACTGAGAAAATATTAGTTGCTGAATACTAGGAAGTGTAATTAAAGCAAAAACTGTATACAAGAACATGGCACAGGAAGAAACTCAATGCTGTCCCTCAAACAACTTAACATGATCATTTGCAATTTACAGTTCTCAAATTACCTTATTGCTTTCTTTCTTCATTCCTTTGCTATCATTGCTCCTTCTGCTTTAAGTGACCTTATTCCCTTAAACCCAGCTCAGGTTCAGCACAACCAGTCAAGACCTCCCCAAAGCCTTAATCATTTATTTCTTCTACCACCCAGGTCCTTCTATGAAATTTTATTCCTACAGCTATTAAAACTTTTAATAAAAATGACCTGATGATATATTAATTTATGTTTCTCTCTCTGTCTACACTGTAAGGGCCTTGAAACAAAAACTGTCTTTCTCCACTCTGTGCTTCTTGCACTACCTCAACATTGCTACCAACTAATTATGAGACCCCCAACTAAGATCAGGTATTTTTGGGCCTCAGTTTGCTTAACTAGAAAATGAGAAAGTTCAACTTGATAGTGTCTAATGTCCTCACAAACCCAAAAATTCATTCCATAAGGGTAGGGATTTTTTGCTTGGCTCATTGCTGTATCTTCAGTGCCTACAACAGTGGCAGGGCACATAGTAAATACTCAATAAACATTTCTCCACTAAATTAAAATGAAATGATGATAGATCAAGAGTGGAACACCTTTTCTACACAAGGGTCAATTCAAGAAAATGAAAGTATACAGGCTGCCTTTTTATCCTTCAAAAGGAAAAAGTTGTAGGTTCCATGGAGTAGTTGGTTACTGGTTCTTAGAAAGGAGTCTCGGGATCTCTTCAGAGAGATCAATGAATGCTATAAAAACTAAACAGGAAACCATGTGTGTGAACAACATAACTTTTCCAGAGGAAAAAACATAATTTCCAAATTCTTAAAGCAGTTCATGACCTAAAAGACTTTAAAAGAACTTCACAGATAGAAGAGTATCAATGAGAAAAAGAGCCCTACTTTTTAGCTAAATGTAAATATCTAGGAATATCACAGAAGTAGCAACTTGGACACAATTTTCTACTTTTCTATCATGAAATTAGATTAGGAAACATCACAAAGTTCAGGCAATTCATCGCTATTCAACATATTCAAGAATGTTTTAGCCTCTAAATGAAATAAAAACCTAGAATACTTTAATTATACTGGTTCCATAGAGTACAACTGATGTTTGAAAATAAAGGTTCTTTACAATATTTGATGTGTATCAAAATTTGATTAATTTTCTTCAGTAATGAAAACTAATATTCAGATATTACTAACAAATAATGAAATGCATTTAGTAAAACAGGGAGTAAACACAGGTTTAGTTTGTAGTCTATCAGTCACAATTCTCTGTAATTCTGGAAAAAAATTTTTTTCATGCTACCTTACCACACCACACAATGCCAAACTGTATGATTATACAAGGATGAGACTATAACTTTATAAAGGGAGACACAAGATAATCTGCTAAAGACAGAGTTTGAGTGTTTCATAAACTGTATTTTTCATGAGGATTCCAAAACAAGTTGAAAACTTGTGACCAAAAAGGATTTCTATACTCATGTAAGTTGGAAACAATGAATATTATAACCCTATTTTCTAGTTTTAAAATGTATAGTATAATAAAAGCTGTGAGAAGGCCCAAAGCAAAGAAATCCATTAACATTAATTTAATTCAGCGTTTCTCCAATTTCAGTCAGTAGGGAACACTCCTTTTCAAAGTATTATTTGATATTAGACCAAGCAGCGCTGGGTTCAAAGTGAATAAAACTACCTGACAAGAACGAGAAGACTCCATTATTCCTAGACGCAAGCATCCCACTTCCTCGTTTTACCTAGAAACTTCTTTATAAAAAGAACAACAGCTAACGTATTTGATTGAGCTTAAGACATCACTGACTACAAGACACACTAGCACTTAATACACCCTTAGCTAAAGAAAAAAAGGCTGCCAGTTATAACCATAAACACCAGCAACTACAAGATGTAGCCCAATATCAGAGGTGTTAAGATGTGAAAATAAAATGTCTTAGAAACAATAAACTGTATGATTATAAATACTGCTCACTATTTGAATCTATTTGGTTCCCTAGTTTAGAAAGTTAACAGTTTGGATAGCAAGGGAAATCTGTAATTTCAAAAGATGAGAATAGAGTTGTGATCAAAGAGAAGAAAATCTGTTAAAAATGAAACCAATGGAAGGAAGTGGCAAACCCAAGAGAAAAGAAGATTCTACAATTCCTAAAGAACACAGTCAAAGCATAGGCAGTAGCCTTTCAAACAACCACACCATCTTTATTTTTCAAACAAGTTTCTGCAGTTGCTGTTTTTTTTACATATTGCACTTATCTCGAGCGACCTTACTGAATTCACTTATTAGTTCCAATTGTTTGTAAATTATTTTGGATTTTCTACACACACAATCATGCCACCTGTGAGTAAATGTCGTTTTGTTTCTCCTTTTCCAACCTTTTTACAATTATTTCATTTTCTTGCCTTATTGTACTGGTTAGGCCCTATACTACTGAAAAAAAGTGATGAGGGTGGACATCCTTTCTTATTCCTGATCTTGGAGAAAACATTCAATATTTCAATATTGAGTATGTTAGCTGCAAGATTTTTTTTGCAGACATACTTTGTCAGTTACAGAAGTTTCTTTCTATTCCTCATTTGCAGAGTGTTTAATATGACGAATTAATGAATTTTATCATATGCTTTTTCTACTGAGGTAATCATAAGGGGTTCTTCCCTGGCCCCCTACCCCCTTATTCTGTTAGTGTATGAATCAAACTAATTTTCAAACCTTAACCTTGCATTTCTGGAATAAATGCTACCTGGCCAGGATGTATTAGCTTTTTCATATCACTGGACATTTACGAATATTTTGTTTAGGATTTTTGTGTCTACATTCATGAGATATTGGCTTGTAATTTTCCTTTCTTATAATATACTTGTCAGTTTTGGTATCAAAGGTATGTTGAATTCATAAGATGAGTTGAAAAGTATCATATGCCTTGTTGTTAAAATGTACATCACTAACACTTCTTACTTTCCAACACAAAAGCTAATTCCCATACAAGATAAAGATTATAATCCATTAACATCTCTTTATCTTATTTCCTATGTAAAATATTACCAGCCATAACTGCTATTAGTACTTTTAAAGAAAAACAGATTTTTCTCATGGAAAAGAATGGAAGGAAAAAAAGTATTTCATAAAAATTACTTACTACAAAAGAAGGTTGTTACAAATTAACTCATCCAAGCATCATTTTTTAATAACCAATGCCCAAGTTGGAATCAAACACAAAAGAAACAGAGTTACAATGCTTCATAGCCACATTCAAAATAAGCTAGCTCCAACAGGTTTCCAAAGCAGAAGTGTCTTGCTTAAATGCAATAAAAAGAAAGTATCTGAGGAGTTATGTGTAAGAAGCTTATTAATATAATTACTGTTATGTCAAAATTTTATATTAAGTAAATAATTATCTTTTCAATAAATGTGAATGTCTATTTATGATATTCTCTTAATGCAGCACCCAGATGTGTTTTCTATAACAAAACCTAACAAATTCGGAATTCTAGTGAGAACAACTGGATTTTACTTTAAAGTTAAATTTATAAAATATTTCCAGGGATTAATAGTTTCATTTCTTTCAAGAATACTAAGTAGCATTAAAAGAGACAGATTAAAGATCTTGCAGAGAAATATTTTCACATCAAAGTAAAATGTGTACAGTTAGTAATCAATTTTTGTTAAAATAGATGGTTCCCATAGCAAGCTTGCTTCAGCATAGCAAATAATTTTATATAAATCATACTTCTCTGTAAGAAAAATAATCCTGGTAATAATTCTGACTGAGTAATCCAGGTAATAATCCTGACAGAAGCCAAGGCATTAAAAAAATCAAAGGTAGTCAATAATAGCTATGAAAGGAACCTATCATAAATTTCCTTAATTTTTATATTTAAAGTAGCATAATTATACAACAAATACAAATTTGAAAATCAAACAGTTGCTTAAGCGACTGCATTTTATATTTAAGGAAACTGAGAGACTAAGACTTGTTCAGGATCATACAGAATGTCAGCTTTCTAAAACAACAGCTGAAATCTCTATCTGACTTGCAATGTTCCTTCAATTATACCATACAATTTCCCTTTTAAAAGTTTCATGGTATAGATGTTAACAAATCATCATGCAAAGGGACCAAGATATGTTTTTAGATTGCAAAAAAATTACTGCTAAGGAACAATAATATCTCATAAGTCTGATATACAGTCATGCATTGCTGAACAATAGGGATACATTCTGAGAAATGTGTCATTAGGTAATTTCATCATTGTGTGAACATCATAGAGTGTACTTACACAAACCTAGACAGTAGAGCCCACTACACACCTAGGCTACATGGTACTAATCTTATGGGACCACTGTCATATATGTGGTCCATCGTTGACCGAAACATCATTATGCAGAGCATGACTGTACCTAAAACTAATATGATATACTAATATCAAATATTCAACTGATTAATTGGTTTGCTTTCTTAGAATTTAAAAGGGCTTTAGGGAGATAATTTGGACAGTCTAAGTCTTTTTGTAAAAACTAACCAGGATGGTATATACAGATGCCACCTTTATTCACAATACTATCTCTTGAGAGGCACTCAAACATCATTTCACTTATCACTCTACTCAAATAATACCTATTTAATAGCTATTTCAATGTCTTAATATTTAGCAGTATCAATCAGGTTTTAACTTTCCTCTCTCTTAGCCCTCTCACGAAAATGGAATCTTAGAATAAAGAAGAATCACTAAAGGGTTTACTGGGTGGTGTTTATAGGAAGGGTATAAAATTTTACATTTGTGTACTTATTTGCTTTAACAATGACAGAAGATACTGTGTGGATACTAATTTTGAGCTTTCCTCTGCCTTCAATTGAAAAAAAATTTTTTAAATAATATTTGATGATGGGGAACATTCTTTTATTCTTCCCAACACTTCTCTGAATCAGTGACCACTAAGGATTCTGCAGCAAAAACGCCTATGGACTAGGAGAACAGAAACAATGAAGAATAGGTAAAAATAAAATGCTGTTCTATAAACAGGTTCACTGAAGATAACTGAAAGGTACAGACTTGTAAATAACTGCTTTCCTTAAAAGATTCTTTATGGTATTTACCGAGTGATTTTTTTTCACAAATAGCCCACTACCATTAGTAAATTTTCACAAATTCAGTTAGTGGTAACTGTAGTAGCAAATTTATACTATCAATTCCAAATCTGTATCCCTTTTATCCTAAAGCTATACAAAACATATTAAAAAAATGAAAATAGTAGCAAAACATACTAAAAAAAATTTTGTAAAAGCTATAATTAGTACACTTCAATTTCAGAGTTCAAATCTCAACATAAAAAGATCCTAAACATCATCAGGTTTTTAAAAGACCTCTCCAGAACTACTCAGTACTACACTAAGTATAACAGATCTTATATTGGTTTTTTATTCCTTAGTTACTTATTATTAAGGAGGATAAAACTAATCAAAGTAAATATTCAGATACTGCTAAAATTAGTAGCATAGACCAAGCGACACAAATTCAGAGAAAAAGGGGGGGCATCATAAGGAAAAATTTGAAGGCTTCATCGAAAAAGTTAGACTGATTTTCAATCTTTAAAAGAATGACTAGAATTCAGTTAGGCAGAGGGAAATGCACTCCAGGAAAATCACCACCAAACAAAGAAAAAAGAGGCAGGAAAGAGCAAGGGACAACAAGCTGAAAGGAAGGACTAACCCAGAGGTAACAGAACCAGAATAACTGAGGTATGATGAGCTATGAATCAAGCAAAGTTATTTAGCTGAGGAAATGACAGTTTTTGTAAGGAATATTAACGTTAAGTCTGAGAGTAGGAAGGTGGCAGCTATAACACTGTACCCAGAGGGCAGGGAACTGAAGGTGGTCCAGAAAGAGAAGTGAACTACAAATACAAGTAAATGACTCAAAGGCTTTTAGATTGCACAACTTGAAAAATGGTGGTATCACTTCCAGAGGTGGCAAGAAGAAATTAATTTATGTGGGAAATAATGAATCATTTTAGGCATGTTACACCTGAAGTAATGCTGAAGTGCCCAAAAGGAAAATCTGATATAGAGAATGAGATTCAGATACAAATTTCTAGAACTGTCAAAGTTTAACACAGTAAATAAGGAAAATAATACACTGAAAAACCAGTGAAAAGAGCAGTTCAGCTATATCATTTATCATCTATTTACCTATGATATCAATTTCCTATGTAATCTTCACAATGGAAAGACCCATGGGCCAGAAATAGGAGACCCAGATTCCAGTCCTGGCTCAGTAACTCACAGCGTATAGGTCAATTATAAAATTATTTGGGCCTTACCTTTCTTCAAGGTGAGGATATAGAAATGAGAAAGATTACCTAATTCTAATTCCTGTGATTCCACATACCTCAAATGAGACTAAAGATCAGGGCATTCACTCATACCTAAACAGACAAAAAAATAACACATCTACAAAAGTATAAGATAGGTTCATAAATGATCTTAATTTAATCAGCATTTACCCCCTCATTTAAAAATGAAATGACTGAATGTATTGTCAGGCCATACACAATAGCTATTAATAAATAAAAAACTTACATTCACATCGTCCTTTCCAGTTTACAACATACTTTTAAATAAATGATTTTATTTAATCCTCACAAAATCCCACAAGCAAGACAAATATTACCATCACCATTTTACCAAAGAGGAAAAGATTCAGAAAGGTTAAGAGCACCGCCCACTGTCATGCAGTTAGTAAGTGAAGAGCCAGAGCTCAAACTCAGGTAAAATTCCTAATTAATGGTCCTTTCTGTGAGGCTGCCAGGGTTTTCAAATTAAAATGTACAATATCTCTAAAGAAAATATAGCAAATAAAAAGAAAAAACAAAAAGAATGGAGCACATGAAAATGTAGTGAGAGGCAAGTATTAAAATGCTGATGCAAAAAGTAAAAAAAAGGAAGGCAAATATTTTTCTTTTTCAGCAAAAGGAAAGCAAAAAGGTAGGAATAAGAGATAGAGAAACTATCAAGAAGCAAGAGCTTGGAATTATGAAAAAAATTAAAAAATTAAGATGCCACCTGAAAACATTTATGAAGCCAAGACAAACACATCATGCTATTCTTCTTACCTTTTCAGTTGCTGAAACAGATGGCTTTGATACAAAACCCAACCTGTCCTTCACAGATAACTTAGTTACATTCTAAAAAAATTAAAATGGACATATTCAGTGTTTCCCCAAACATATATAAGACTGCTGGGATTTTGAACAATCTGATTCTACTAATATATACCGACTCTATAAGTATACTGATGTTACTCACAAAAACTTGGGCCTTTTTCAAAGACAGAGAGAGAAAGAAAATGTATATGGAAAGACCAACAGTATGCAATATTACTCAATCATGAAAAATTATGATGTAAAATAAGAGGTCTGAAACAGGTGGTTGCTAAAGTCCCCTCCACTGATACAGAATCATAAATTCTTAAGACTCCTATGTTGACAAGTAGAAAGTTTGAACCTTTCAAATATTAGATTTGAGTAATTAAAACACGTGTCTGCTTCTCAAGCCTAAAAGTAAAAGCCATTCTTTCCTAAAGAATGTCTGTTTTATAGTGAAATACATTGTATTTGGTGTGATTTGGGATAATAGGATTGGGAATTTTTTTTTTTAGTAACTAATAATTAACCAATTTACATTCTGCGTGTTTTTATAGAATCTCAATATCTTACTCTTCAGGAATTATCTAAGAAGACTATCTTAATAAGGTGGCATCCATTAGCTAAGCAGGATATTATATCCTAACTTTATTTTACACAGCAAATGCTAAAACTTCTGGAGACAAAGGAAAGCTAAGTTTCAGAGACTGAGAGTGTAGAAACAAGAAATTTCCACACAAGTATGGAAGGGGTGTGAAGGGAATGACAAATAGAGAAAACAATCTGAGAGTCAGGAATAAGTGATGCAAAGTTCTGAGAGAGCTGCATAAGTAACTTGAAACCTTATAACATCAAGCATGCTAAAACCTGATGGTTCAAGTCTTCCCTTCCCAAAAACTTTCAGTTCAGTCTAGTGCATAATTATCTCTGGAATAGAATCCTAGTTAAGTAAAAGTTGATGAGAAAAATAAGATTAGGGTATTGAACTTCACTTCTCAGGCAGTTTTGCTGGAAAAATATCCCCTCCACAAAGTAAAAGAGAACTCTTTCTCATAAATAAGTATTAACTAGACAGAAGAATTTAAGATTCAAATACTACAGGAAAAGTAGACTGTGAACATGTTATGGTAATGGTAAAAAAAAAGTTTACAAGTAGGGTTCAAATATGTATAGACTATCATTTTTCTGTATAAAATATATACACTTAACTATATTCCAGATTACCAAGGGAAACTAATTTACTGAGAACCTATTATGTGACAGGCACAATGATAAGACTTTCCATTTACCTGAGGAAGGTCTGAACTGGCACTCTGGGCTTCTGCGGGTTCAATAGTACTTGAAGGTACTGGACCCAACCTCTCTTTGACTGACTGCTTCACAACAGGCAAAATGGGCTGCTGGACTAAAGGCTGTATTACCTCAGAACACGAAAAAAATGTTCAATAAGCTGATTAGTTCATAAGCACGGAAAGTAACCTTTGTTATTTTTTACTAAATTGCCCATACAGAGAAAGTTTTAAAAGTGCAGCTTATAATCAAAACCTAACCACCTTCCAAATTCCTTCACAAACGTATACAGATGTTTTCTTTGCATAAAATAACTTATTTATAAAGGACAAAATTAAAATCTATCCTTAACTATCTCTTGTCTTTTTTTTTTCCCTAATGAACAGGAGAAAGTTAAATCGAGAAACAAACTGCCCTAATACACCTCTACAAGCAATTAATCTAACATGACACAATGACTGATTCACTGACTGAGACAGAGAAAAAGAGATAGGGAAGAATGGAGGGAAGTATTTCCAAAATGAAGCCTGAGTTTCTGGAATATGTATAGGTACCATGTACTGAGTGTCTCCTATCTACCAGGGACTGTTCTATATGCTTTATACATATCATCATATAATTGTCTCAACTAAGGATTAACTTCACAATAAAATGAGAGAACAAGTTAGGTTAAGTAACTTCCTCAAGTCTATACAGTTAATAGTGGTAGAGCCAGGATGTGAGCAAGTCTACCTGACTGCAATGCCTCTGCTCTTCAACACTATGCTAAGAGCTTTCTAAGAAAAGCATTTAATTTCACACGGATTTCTCTCTTACCTTTGGAGAAGTAGTTTGTAACTGCTGGGTGCTTCCTTCTCTGTGCCAATAAACCTTAATAAAGCGATTGTTCAACACTGCTTCTGTACTTGATATTGCTTTCTTTGCTTCTTCATATGTTGCAAATTGGATAAGGGCACCTTCAGGATCACCATTATAGGCAACCTAAGATTTAAAATATTAAAAACAGTTAATTCCCAAATAAGTCTGTTGCTTCAGACAGTAAAATTCCTCAAGAAATAAAATATTGGTCCTTCCAAGTAAGAGTCTATCTATCTTTCTACTTTTTATATCTAGATTATTACCATAACCTACTTTCACTCCAGCAGAAATGGTAACTGAGGACTGTTGCGAGTGGAACAAGAGCCTCCTCTACATAACACTTAGTAAAGAACGCTCACTGCACAAATGTTATATACAAGCATTCAAAATATTTCCCTTTTTACCCCCAATATTAAATATCGACTATGAGAAATAATCCCTGTGTCAAGGGGAGACATGGCCAAGATCCACAGTCAGGAGAAGGCAGTAAACTACTTTGAAAGGGGTGATCTCTAACTAAAATTTACAGAAAAATCCATCGGTAAAATTTTCCAAATTTGTAATTCTCACAAAAATATTTCCAAGAGTGTGAGAAAATTAAAAAAAAAAAAAGACTACATAAAAGGAACAATCACATTTTACATACAAGGAAACTGATATTCAAAGTATATGATTCTATAGATCCATACAACTAATAAGCAGAAGATCTAAGGTTTTTCATTTCAAATTTCCTGTTCTTTCAATAATAGCAGTGTTTTCCAAAGCGTGGTATATAAACCACGGTGGTGTGAAGCAATACAAAATACGAATTCAAAGCACAGACTCTGAATCAAACTGCCTGGCTCAAAGCTTGACTGCTATTCTCACAGGAGCATGAGCAAGTTATTAAACCTTTTTGTGCCTCTGTTTCCTCTTCCTTAAATAGGATAACAATACCCACTCTGCAGTGTGAAGAATTAAATAATAATTCATGAACAGAAAGTATATAGTAAGTATTCAATAAATATTAGCTGTAAGGATGATTTTAGGTAGCATTTTAATAATTATACATTTATTGGAATTTAAAACATCAATTTCACCACTATGTTTAATTAGGATCAAGCTAAAGGGTTTTTTTTAACTGATTTTTAAAAACATGTATTTTATATAATTAACAGTGTAGTAGTATGCAGATACAGCAAAATGATCAGTAAAGAGATGAAAAGATATCAACCTCACTAATAACTGAGGAAATTTAAATTGAAATAACAGTGAGATACCATGTTTTGCCCCTCAGCTTTGAAAAGTTTTTTAAATTTAGTATTACGAGTGTAGTTAATTATGAGAAAAAGAATATTCTGAGAACTTTTTTATATCTAGATCTAAATGTGGTAGGTCAAACTGAATTGCCATAAAAAAATATTCAGAGATATTCAAGATTAATAATAAATAAATAACTACAGGGTAATATATATATATTATGGTCCCATATATTTTTTAATATATATATATTCTTAAGTTTGTGTACTGATTGATTGATAAGTAGATACAGAAACACAAAACAAAAAATCTAGAATAACACAGGGTAAACTGTTAACAATGATGTAATTATATTATGGGGATATATGTGGAGAGGAATGTGAAGAACACAGACAGCTGAAGGCAAAACGTTTTCTTTAAATTCTATGTAAATCTCTACTGCCCCACCCACAGTGAGCATGCATTTTTTTCATCTACTACTTTTGTAAAATTTTCCAAAATATCAACCTAAGCTGTCTGATCTAAAATTTATTCTTATTTTTATCAGATTAAGGGAAATAATTATTTTAGTTGAAAAGAACACCATACAAACTAGAAAAAAAGCCCAACATTATTTCAACACTTTCAACATATCACTTAATATAAACTCAATATTAAATAACCTCACAAGTTACATACAAGCCAAGGTCTAATTTTAGGTGTAGTCAAATACAAATTACACGGATATTTATCTTGAAGGATATTCAAAAGTGATAGAGGAAAAAATAAATGTTTAAACTATTTATGGATTACATGTTATTTAGGCCCAAAAAGTATCTGTCAAATGCATCACACCACAGAGGTGGCAAAAATAAATCTGACTGAAGTATTCTGCTGAAATGATTTTGAGAAACTGAGGAAATGAAAACTACTATAAGATTAGATTTTACCAGTGTGATTATTTAAACTTTGCTCTAATTTTACGATAATCTCTATTAAGTAAAAAGTATATAATAAAATGATCAATCACTATTGATTATATACTTCCTTTTGAAAGTAAAAATCTTACTTGAAATCACACATTTTGCTAAAATATAAAGTTTCATTCCATATCCAATTTTCCAAATTTAGAACATTACCAAATTTTCCATATTTCTTTATAAAATTATTTTTCTTACTACATTAAGTTTCCTCCCTAAATAATTAAGCAAAGACAACGCAATCATTTCATAGCTCTTACCTGTAAGTTCACCAAGGTTCCAAATCGACTAAAATGCTCATTAAGTTTGCTGATATTATTTAATTCTGGAGGAACTTTTCTAAGTTCAAGTTTGGTATTTTCATTTCCAAACTGAACCTTTTTCTGGAAGCCTGGGCTGTTTGTTCTATTAAAATTTGGTCTGTAACAAAAACCAAGTTAACACATTCATTTATAAATCCTAACCTCAATCAAGTACAAAGGAATGAAGTTTTATAATTTAAGTTCAACTTGTTTTAAACTGAAATTACTGGTTGATAATAAAATTTAAATTTTCTTCCAAAAAATGAAGTTTCCAAATTAGCAGTGTTCACATTTTTCATGGAAGCCAAGTAAGAGTTCTTCCATATCATTTATTACTTTCTACTTCCAATCCACTCCTACTCAAAATTCTTAGCAGGAAAGGTCTTAGTACCCCTCTTTTAGTCAATTTGCATATATAACCTTTGTTCCATTTCTGCAAAAGCTAGCTTACTGAAATGCATCCTATTTTAAAATGTGATTAAAATAAAAGAATGACTATCTCAACCTCTTTCCAACTTAACAAAAAAAATGTCGGAACTATAGACCATACATTTGACACTTGAAGAAAGGACAGAACTGTGGCCCAGAGAGGTTATACTGCTTGTCTTAAAACAGAGAATTAAAGGCAGAGCCAGCATAGAAATTATCTGCTATTAAATAGATGTTAAAGCTCTGAACATGTGATCCTAGTCTCTCCTCAAACATGCATATTTATAAATAAATCATCACACACACTAACATTCTGACTCCTTAAGCCTTTGTCTGAAGCCCTCCCTTGACAACTTTAGTGCCTATCCAGCCTCCCCTAGTCCCCCAAAAGATCGCTTTCCAGCTCTTACCAGGAACCACCCCCATGCTAAAGCCTCCTCCCTGACCTGATCCACACTTCCTTCCCTAATAATGGGCTCATGATTATCCTTTTTATAGGTAGTATTCAACAACATCTCTAAGTTAAGTGGTGTTTTTTGTGCAGGTGGGGGCAGTGGAAAGAGGAAAAACTATATCCTTCACCACCACACCATTTCTATATGAAAATTCCTTCCAAGTATCAGATGACTAACTTACAAGTTTTTAGAAAATAACTTACACTTTAGTTTGGGAATTGACGACAGAATAGAATAAGATAAATTTTATTTTGAAAGAAAATACTATACTATCATAATAATACTGTAACTATCCTAAAAAATTACTGCACAATAAAATTCCTCAATTTTCCCTGCCAGCTTACTTATCAAACCAAGTCTTCTTTGTAGGAACTCCAGGGTCCCCAGAACCAATAGTTCTTTTCCTTGACTCTGAATCCACTACTATCCTCATACTGCTTTTATTAGGAGGCTTTTCTGTTTGGAAAAAAAAAAAGAAAAGAAAGCAGAGATTAACATTTTCTGTTTATCATAGCTACTTCCTTAAATTCATATTTAAAACAAAGTTCTAGCTTTTGTCCAAATATATATTTTAGAAGAAACAGAGATAACTGTACATCAAATATAGTAATCTAAGGGATTTAACTTATTTTGAATTCATTTCACACCTAACTGAAGAAGAATCAGTAATTCTCACAAGTCAAATTAAAATATGACTCTGTAGGGGCCGGCCTGGTGGCGCAAACAGTTAAGTGCGCACGCTCCGCTGCGGCAACCCAGGGTTCGCCGGTTCAGATCCCGGGCGTGCACAAACGCACCACTTGGCAAGCCATGCTGTGGCAGCGTCCCATATAAAGTAGAGGAAGATGGGCAGGGATCTTAGCCCAGGGCCAGTCTTCCTCACCAAAAAAAAAAAAGAGGAGGATTGGCAGATGTTAGCATAGGGCTGATCTTCCTCACACACACACACAAAAATATGACTCTGTAGGCCACTTCTTTCGGGGGTAAAATCCATGTCACTGTTCTCATTTGCCATCACCCTCACCACAAAAAAATAAAGTACAAATAAATCATCTTGAAGCTTTGAGTTTACAGTTTTGAAATCAAACGCACCATCTAAAAGATTCAAAATGTAACACTAATCCAATGCCTTTCTTTAAGAATTGGTAAAAGTTGTGATTGAAGGGAATTGCTTAAACAAGGTAACAACATAATAAAAGCATACTTGATTTAAAAATGTAAATATTCAAGATTTAAATACAGTGCAAAAGAGCTATAAATATCTGCTACTTTCAACATTTTACATTTAGATTGAGTCTGACGAACATAGTTCATTTAACCTGTTATTCCCAAATGACACCCAAGTTTAAAACATGCAAACCTTAATCCACACAGAAAAATATAATTTTAAAATCTGTTTTTTAAAGATGGATAAATTGGTTGTACAAATCCTACTCCTAGTATTTCTAAATACATTAACAAAAGACCTTAGAATCTGTTTCAGTACAATCTCCCTCCCGGCTACAGCTATGATCTCTGTGCAGGAGATCATATCAATCTCTCTATCACACAGGAACTCTGCTCTGAGAACCAGTCCTAAATTTCTAACTTCTTGGCTTTCTCTGTCCATCTTTTGGAAATCCTACAGGCATTTCAAAACTCACTATGTACAAAGTACAAACTATCTTCATATTAAATGTACTTTTAAAATCTTTCTGAAACATCTCTATTAATGAAACTACAATCTTCCCAATCACATTTGATTTTTGAGGCTGCCCACATCCCTTCAATTCATCTTGCATTTATTTCCTCTCATTTCCCCCTGAGACAACCTTGGTACGTTACTTTTGACCTAGTCTACTGTCCTAACTGGGCCTCTGCTTCCAGATTCTCATGTCATAAATTTATCCTATCTAGACAGCTACCAAAATCAACGCCCCAGAGCCCTGCTGCTTTCCTCCATCTTCAACCTCTTCTGCTAAACTAGCACTTCCCAACAACATTTAAACAAGCTCAAATTACTCCATTTTTAAAAGAAACCTCATAAAACCACTTTCCCCTCCAGCTACAGCCTTCTTTCTCCCCTCACAGCTACTTCCTCAGAGATGTCTAGACTTGTTAACTTTGCTTCCTTACCACCCACTCATTCACTAATCCTCTGAAAACTGGCAGCTGCTCCCATTACTGCATTTAACTTGCTCATGCTAAAATCGCCGATGTCCTAACTTGCTGCTTAAGCTTATGAATACATCTCAGCTTTTCTCTCAGTCGACCTCTCAAGAGCATTTAACACTGTCATCTTCTTCTCCTTCTTAGATATTATCTTCTCTCAATTTTCAGGACTCCCCACCACGTGCTTTCGTCTGTACCTTTTTGGCTTCATTTTCTCAGTGCTCTATGTAAGCTCTCCTTTCTCTGCCCATGGCTTTAATGTTGGCAGTCTCCAGGTTATTTACTTGGGCTTTCTAAGCTCACTCTACACAATCTCCCTAAGACATCCATTGCCATGGCTTCATTCATCATTCATTCATTCTCAAAGGGAAGCGGGGAGTATGAGAAACACATGAGAAAGGCTTTTGGAATCTATGTCAGTCAGGCTTGCAGCTTTGGGTATGCCTCAATTCCATATCCCTTTACCTCCCATTATTACTACAGAAGAAAAGATTAAGGCCACTGTTCTACATGCTCATGGTCCAAAATCTGTATTTTCTAGCCAACTCTCTCTCATACACCTCAGACTTCCAGATCCTATCTCCCACTGGACATTCTACTCAAATGCCCCAGGAATACAACAAATTAAACACTTCCAAAACTAAATTTATCTTCCTACCAAATCTGTTCTTCCTCTCAATAAATATTATCATCTGCCCAATTATCCAGAGCAGAAACGTGGTGTCTTCTTTTTCACGCTCTCCATTACCATCATTCTAAGCCCCACAACCCAATAAGTTACAAATGTGGTCAATTCTTTCCGATAAACTTAAATCTTTCACTTGCCAGTGTTACTACCCTAGTCTGGCTACTATCATCTCTTTTCTAAAATTCTTCAAATGCCTTTAATTGGCTTCTTAGCTCCTTCCACACCCTTTACTCCCTCTGTTCTAGTCACAAAGTTCTTTGAGTTTCTCAAAAGTATTATAGGGTCTATGTGCTCTATCGATCCACTTTCTCTGGCTAACTGACTTATCCTACATCTCCGCAGCAGATCAGGTGGAAACATCCAGTATCTAGCATTAGTGATGTTCACAGTGCAAGTTGAGGTTTCTTTGCCCAGTTCTGTAATAGGATTTTTGGCCTTATTCCTGCCTCCCAAGCCTGGTTCACTGGCCCCTTTGGAGAGTCTTTGAGCTATCCAATATTCTCTTTTACTTTAATATGTTCTTTAACTGAAAGTTCACTAAAAGAGGCAGTGGTATGTTTTTCCCCCAGCAGTTGTGATGTGTTTGCTCCAACTCATCTGTATCCTGTCAGATTTTCTTTCACTGTTATTTTTTAAAAGAGGAAGTGTTAAATACACAAAAGCAAGTTCCTCTTGGTATACAATTACCTAATGTGTCTATTAGTTATATGTACTGTGTTCTTCTCCAAATACCCTTATAATAAATTGTTTTTCTGCTTGAAATTTTCAGCACTGGTTTTGTTGACAGCAAATGGAAAACGTCTTAGCCCTTCTTCCTACCTATACCCAATCAAGGGAGCATCTATCAAGTCCTCCACCTCCTTAGAAATCTGGAAAGAACAATTATTAGGGCCTCTAGGTCACTTTTATATTAGTAATTGCAAGGCACCAAAGAACCTAAATTTTGTTCATTTGTTTAATATGAAATGTTAATTCTCCATCAGGTTTAAAGTATGAAGCATAAAATTACAATTATCACATAATAGTCTTACAAATTTAAATTAAGGCCATCTATAGGCTATTAGAAATGTATAATAATTATATAATAAACAATATTACAAGCTTTTAATCATGTATCTGTCACAATCCAGGACAGATTTCAAACCAAATGGGCAACAGATGAGAACATTTTGGGGGGAGGCAGACTGAAAAAAGACAAGGAAATAGAAGTATACGTAACCCTCAATTTAAACGGGTTGCGCAATCTGTTGTCTGGTACATAAAAACAATGTTATTAATGGAGAATATAGTCCTAAACCAGTCACAAAAACAGCATATGATGTATGTAAAGAACATTACTAAAATAATCACTATGCACAATGATTCTATGGCAAAAGGCTTTCAAATTCCTAAGTTGGCATACATAACATTTCTCTCTTAATAGGGCCACTTCCGTTAACTTGTAACTACATCCACGTGGAGTTGAAATTACTATATAAACTTCTACACGGTAAGATTTTATATGCAAGGGGTTTGATCTCTCTTCCTTCTCTTGATCACCAACAAAAAACTGGCCTGACATTGGAATGGGTCTAATAAATATTGATCTGTAGTGGCATATATTTATGCCACTCCAAAGCAGCAAGGTAAGAGATGACTTGATGTGGGAGGTTCCAGTACAAGCAAGGAGCATTGGTATGATGAAAAGAATTGCTCAGTAGTGACCCAAAGAAGGATGGGGTATTCTCTGAGCTAGTCAGGTAGGAGACTCAGGGAATGAGTAAAAACCATGAACAGCCACAATTTTAAGTGGCTACTTTTCAATTACAAGCAATCTTATATTCCTTCCATAGAAACGGTGAAAAAATCTTTTTTCTGTTGTTGTTGTTGTTAATGACAGTTATTAGAATACCTCAAGAATTTAAAAGGTGTGAGGAAAAGGGGGCATCCACATGAAATGCTATTCTGTGATCTCAAAGAGAATATAAATTATTATTTTTTATTTTGTGTGTGTGTGAGCGTGTGTTTGCGTGTGTGTGTGTGTGTGAGAGAGAGAGGAAGATTAGCCCTGAGCTAACATCCGTTGCCAATCCTCCTCTTTTTGTTGAAGAAGCCTGGCCCTGGGCTAACATCTGTGCCCATCTTCCTCTACTTTATATGGGACATCGTCACAGCATGGCTTGACAAGCGGTGCATCGGTCCCCGCCCGGGATCCAAACCTGCGAAACCCGGGCCGCCAAAGCAGAGTGCAAGAACTTAATAGCTACACCACCGGGCTGGCCCCGGAGAATATAAATTAAATTGAGTATAAATTAAAATGTTCCTCCTACCTCCATCACAAAAAGTTCTCGGAACACTCAAGGCAGATGCTCAGAATCTGAGTTTCCAATGAACAAATTAAAAAATGCCAAGTATAAGTAATCACAAGTTACTAAACCACATTAGGTATTAACTGTTACTTATTTAAATAAGTTGGATTTTTATTCACAATTGATGAGGCATGATTTTTTTTTTTGACTAGGAAAAAAAGACAGCAAGGAAAGTGGAAAGAAAATGAGATTTATAAGTTAAGGTAATTAGGGAAAAAGATGTATTTTTATTGGCCTACATAATATTTTCTGTTGTGTCTGACAATCCCTCACTTCGCTGCATCAAATCTTATCTGTAGCAAATGCTCCATCTTGCAAATTAATGTGAACTCTCTCCCTCCTCTGAACTTTCATATCAGTTTACACCTCTAGTATAGCACTTTTGCTGCCCTGGCTTGTAACTGTATCAGTCTAAACTCTAGATATCTTATCCTGTTTAGAAATTTTATCAAAAGTCTGTCTCCTCTAAGAAAATTTTAAAAGCTAATAGTCACTTCCTAAAACATAATTCTTTTATTATAAGCAAACCAATATCAAATTCTAACATGTCAAAAGTAAATAAAAATAAAATACATATTAAGCACAAGTTTGTACAGCTAATTTTATTATCCAAACTATGAAAGAATCTATCTTTAGGAATTAAAACATTCCTCTCAAGAGTTTAAATGAACCAATTAAGACTGCAAATGACAGAAAATACCCCCAAAACGTACCTTAAAAAAATAAGTACTTTTGGGAAATTTCTTTCCCCTTAGATGGTAGAATAAAGTGTCACCAATAGCATACACAGGGAACCACACGTTACCTCTTCTCTCACGGGAGACAAAAGATCCAAAGAATAAACAAAATCATCATCCTTTACTCAACCCCAATAAATGCAGGACCAACTGTTCGTTAAAGATGTCTTGCCACTCTTGATATTATGAAAATGATAAGAAGAAAAGATTAATCACAGTACCTCTGGGTGGCAAATCCATATCCCCTGATGTTAGTCCTATCAAGTTAGGCCTTTGTGCATGCACTCTGTGTCTATACATAGGTCTGGAAGTGTTTGTTATGCTTGGGGCTTCAGGATTGTAGCCATCTGTGTCATATGTATCTGGTAATACAAAAACTGTAATTAAAAAACAATTATAAAACTCCACTTGGTAATTTCTTATATTGATAATAGAAAAAGTAAACTAATTATTACTAAATAACTAACACAGTTTATATGCATTAAAAAGAAAATTTAGTTTTATGAAAATAAAAATGTTAATAAAAAGAAAATATAACAGTTTTAAAAAAAATAGTTACTAGGACTTACATTTAATGTACATTCAGCATGTCTACATTTTATTCTACATAATTTTAGTAAGAAAAATAGACCTGATAGAGCGATTCACTCTGTAAACATTTTTAAATTCCTCATCTAAAACTCTGCTCTAAAACTATATTACATTATGAACATAGAGAGGGCCAAAACTGCACCTGCAGTGAAAAGAGAGGGTGGAGCAGGAGGAGGCTGGTGATGAATGCCAGTTGTTACTACAGTGGGAACAGAACTGGTTGCAGAGTTTGGGGGAGCATCCATGCCAGATGGCTGCAAAGGAGGAAGTGGTGGTGGTGGTCCTGTCAAAACCAAAGAATAAGAAATATCATCTGAAAGCAAACAAATAAAATAAGTTATTGTACATCCAAGCATGATATTCTCATTTATCAAACTATAATATCTACAAATACCAAGCTCTTACAAATATATTAGTTTTCTAGGGAAAAATATCCTTTTAATGTACTCCAAAACAGGTCTGTCTTAAGCTATAAAGAACCACAGGTAGCTGGGATTCATCAAGGACGTGCGTAATTCAGGGCCACTCCAAATCACAGTAAACCATAGGTTTGGCATAGTCTGCAAAGTGGGGGCATATTCCAAATTGGAGTATCTTGCTCTTAGTTTCTAGCAGGCATCTATAGGATTACTTTAGATACTTTTAACAAAAGCAAGCATAAGCTATTAACTTTTTTAAAAGACTATGAATGGATAGATAATAAATACAAGCAAACAAACCTATTTACTTACCTGTGACAGGTGGCAGACTTGGTGGTAATGGGCCTGGCGGAGGCACTGGGGGTCTCAGATTCACAGGTGGAGGTGTAAGAATTGGTGGAGGTGGGGGGAGTCCAGGAGGAGGTGGTCCTTCAACAACAGGAGGCTGTGCTGGGAAAGGCAGCATACCAGGAAGATTCACATCTTCTACAACTACTGGGTCACTTCCATGATCAAAAGGGCACATGTCTCCTCTCATACAGAAACCCTTTTCTGTGGGGAAGAATAGTTAGAAACAAACATGAAAAGTGCTGTACATATTAATTTTCTAAGTCAACAAAAGTAAGATATTTAAAAATAGGAATATTTTCAATATCGGGCAAGTATAATTAACCATATCGCAAGACCTATCTAATTTCCAGTAATATAAAACACTTACCAAGTGATAATATAGCTAACGTACACACTAAAAAAAATAACATCAAATTAAAATGAGGACACCTACCTAGAAACATGATATAAAACTTATACATACTTTTGCCATACTTTGCCAAATAAATTTCCTTTATTTAAATCTCTCACTTAAAACTTCACGTATATTGCAACTATAACTTTAATACAATCTACAAAACTTTTATAGTAAACCTTAAGAGTCTTCAATTCATTTATAAAATTTTTACATAGGTGATACTCACATTTCTAGGTTCTACTTACATGCCAGTAACCATTCATTTCTAAATAATTGAGTTTGGTGAATAATGTTTTGGTAGTAGATTCCCTGATAAATAACTCAGTAGATACAACTCTTGTTTGGTAAACTCAAAAAATATATTAAGAGTTACATGAAAATAAACACTATCTTTAAATTGATATTCAATAGTCAATGATGACTAATAAAGATTTTTGTAATATTGAGGAATTCATAAAGTGCTTAAGACTAGTTTCCCACTATTTCCAATAGGTTGGAATAACTGTGTGTGACCTAAACTTACAGCATGTAGTCAGCTGGAAATATTAATTCAATACTTCATGAAACAATTGAAAGACTTACCATCATAGTCTCTACATCGTTTCTTTGGCATTGGTGGTCTTACATATGAATTATGGTCCACTTGGTCTTCATGAAATTCAGACCAACTTTCGGTAGTGTTATTACCATGATGAGTAGGAGCAATTACTGTAATAGTGCTGCTCAAAGTAGGTACAGGGTAGTGGCCAGATGAAATATTAGGTACCGAAGAAACTGGAGTATAATTGTTTTCTAACGGATCTGTTCGATCCAAGTCGTATTTAGGTTTTACCAGATCCCTTTCTGCAACAAAATATAATGACTTATAAAACTATACTCTATTAAAAAAAAAAAAAGTCGCAGATCTAAGAAATAGTGATATTTTTGCTAAACAGAGAAAATGTTCAAATTTTACACAATCCATCTTTTCCTTTTAAAAACTACTCAATGAATACACAATGTTCCAAGATAAGCTATTTCTTTTCAATATGACCTAAACTATAAAATCACACATAAAGTTGCTGTACTTAATGAGTTTTTTCTTGGAGTTCTGTTTATAGAAAAGAGATTTTTTATTTTCTTCATTGCAATCTTAGTATACATAACTTCAGCCCACAAAACAAAATATTCAATAAAAGTATGGTTATTTTTTGTGTGATGAATATTTTTAGTTGTTATTCATCTAAAAATCCTAGCATGGCTTTTTACAGTGAACACTATTTGTTAAAGATAAGAATGGATGAGCAAAGAGGAAGAAAATGGAGTTCATTTTAAACACGAACAAAGAAATTAACTGGGCTGTATACGGTCCCAAGGGAAGAGAATAGGTATTAAGGAGATTAGTTAAGTGAAGCAATGTGCAGAGAGGCCTAGTACACTTAGATCATAGGAGGAAAAAACACTAAGAATAACAGAAGGACAGGGCTTATACAGAGGCCATAAATATTATTTCCTAAAGGCTGAAGGTGACTGTACAACAAAGATTGCAAGAGTAGCAAAACTCTAAGCTTGAGTAAAGGTGTTTTACTCAAAAGTGTTTTAGTTGTTTTATTGCCTGCAATATCTTCCTTTCAACAATACACATTGGAAGAAAAACTATACATGATGGAAATGACATTCTCTTGCAAATATACACATCTGAAATGAAAATTTTTAACTGTTTTAATAGTTTTGAGGTATAATTGATATATAATAAACTGATCATATTTAAAATATACAATTTAATGAATTTTGATCTACCTATACATCTGTGAAACCAACCATCACAATCAAAATAATGTACATACTGTGCATCTTCATCATGCCCAACAAAATCTTTGTGCCCCTTTATAATTCATCCCTCTTTTACTCCATCCCAGGCAACCACTGGTTTGTTGTCTGGCATCATATATTAGTTTCCCTTTTCTAAAATTTTACAGACATATATACTCTTTTTTGTACGGTATCTTTCTCTCAACTGCCATGATCATTTGCATACAAGTCTTTGTGTGGAAATACACTTTCATTTCTCCTAGGTAAATACCTAGGAGTAGAATGGCTGAGTCATTTGGTGTAAGTTTACATTTTTAAGATACTGTCAAAGTGTTTTCCAAAGACTTCCAGTTTATCTCCATCCTCACCAACACCAGATAAAGTCAGTCGCTTTAATTTTAGTCATTCTGATGGAGTGTGCAGTGGTAATTCGTTGTGGTTTTAATTTACATGAAATAAAATTTTTTAAAGAAATTTTTAAAAAGCATTTTCTTGGACCACAAAATACATGAAAATAGAAAAAATGAAGACAACACTGACAAAATTAAAACAATTTTTAAAACTCACAAATGAGTTTTTTTCACAATAAAAGAATGCCAACCAAAATATAGATATATATGGATTATTTACCCCTGCTTCGTGTTCTGCTTCTGCTTCTAGTCCTGCTTCTATCCCTATCCCTGTCACGAAGCCTCTCTTTACTCCAACTTCGACTCCGACTCCTGCTATAACTGCGACTTCGCCCTCGTCTTCTATTGTACCGGTCTCTGTATGAATCTCTTCGAGGAGGGTTTCGATCATAATCTCTTTTGCGAGAACGATCATCTTTTTTCCTCTCATCACGACTTCTAAAGAAATATATAATCACTTTTATGTAAATAATTTTTAAGTGGATACAGGAAAAGCTGTAATTAAACGCAAAAGTCATATTTAATTCTTGTAACATCATGATTCTTTAACCCACTATCAGATTACAAATATAGCAAACTCAAATAACTGAAAAACTGAACACGTTCTGTTTAAGTACTCTAAAATCCTTTTAAAGGAAAAAAACTCTTAACGTCTTAATCCTTAGTCTTATACACAAAGCCATCTACACGTTTAGGCATCTGTACATACATCTTATAATATATATTGTCTTGTACAGACAGTCTCATAGGCATGTATCCCACACACTGCACTTAAACACTTTTAAAGACTTAATAGGAAAAATAATTTATTCACACTAAAGGGAAGCTTTGTGCAAAAAAGGTCTCACAGTAACATTTCACTGGAATTTGAAGTTAGGAATACAAATAATAACAATAACTAATATATGCCAAGCACTGTTATAAATCTCACTTCCAGGACCTACAAATCCGACTACGTACTCTTGGTAGAAAAGGACCAAATTACACTTTCCTAGATGAATAAAAAAGTAGACATTACTTGCTCCTATACAAAGGATAATCAAGTCTAAACACTCATATAAAAGATAGCCAATGTCTAAACACTGAACATGGTTCAATGACTCAATCACCTATTTTCTCTGTATCGAGAGCTTGACTGAGGAGGACTGTGATTTAACCTTCTAGAAAACTTCTTCTCTCGCTCTTCCTCCTTCGTGATCTGATATACAAAGAAAAAATGTGTATAAGTTTAGCAACAGTTATTCCTCGCCATGTTACTAGCATTTCAATGACTTAACTGATATTAAAATAGAGAAGCAAAAGTGTCCTCTTCTAAAAACATTCATACAAAATTAATCTCTAAGTACAATCATTTAATTTAACCATAAAAGAGGCTTGCTAAAAGTTAAAGTGAATGGTGAAGAAACTCATAAATGCTTATCTTAAGATATGAGTGGTGAGAAAACATTTTAAGCAAGTGTCTTCATTTTAACATAATTAGTGGAAAGCCAATTTTAAGTCCTTCTTTCAAAAGTCCAATACACATTCATGTTTTGGTTTCATGGATTTGGTCTGGCACCAAACACATTAGGGTATACAGGAGAATGCATTAAAACTGACCAAGTCATAGAAAAAGAGAACATGTGAGAAACTATATAAGGTGAAATAGTTCTCCAGTTTCTCACAGTAGTATGGTAGCTACATATTCCTCCTTCCTATGAGGGGCCCCCATTCATACTATATGATTAATAGAAAGCAGCACTGGAAAACATTCCCTTGATCATTGCTACTTTTTCTTGGCCAGAATTTTCCATGCTGTACTACCCAGAACACTGGTTCCATAGGACATTAATAGGTGTTACTAGAAACAGAAAAAAAGGATTTAGAGGATAAAAAATTCAGGAAATACTGAACATGTGGCTTCTGTAAATACGATAGGGCTCAAAATTTTACATTTTTAGTAAGAACCCTAAGATATTCTGATGCAGGTAGTCAAAGCATAGTAAGACATAAAACACATGTCAGTTTATGCCAATTGTTCTGGCATCCCTTTGGGTAAGAGCCTCTCACTATCAAAAGTGGCCCATGTTGGATAATAAAGTAAATGGAAATCCTATCAACAGACCAAACTCTGGGAAACACTGCTTAAAAGACTTCTTTCAACAGTTTGCTTTTTTTTTCCTGTAAATACTTTTGTTCTCCTCTTCCCACCTACTTCACAACCCCCCCCCAAAAAAAGTGGGTACAAATAAGACCCTCCAGATGCACTTTTTCCCTTCTATTTGCCTCAATGCGCTCTCGCGAGTAATTTATGTTAACAGATCATCATATTCCACAGCACATGCCCAATTGGGAACTTTTACGCACCCACAGTATTTTAAATCCTGACTGGCATCCGACATTTTGACAGTTCTGAAAGATCAGAGATAAATATCCTTCACAACTGGTAAAGAAAACTGTAGTGAAATATTATATTAACAGATCTAAGACTAAGGCTTCACCACTCACTCATTTGGGGGAAAAGACTTCTTACTGATTCTCAAACCAAGAGCTCACGATTTTACTAAAGATTTTTGAAGAATTAAAATATAATTTGTAATAGCAAAAATCTGGAACCAACCCAAACTTCCATCAGTGGGAAAACTTAAAAGTATTGTCTATCTCTATGGAGCATATGCAGTTGCCCAGACAATATCCAATATCTCTCTTCCTTACTAACAGATCCTCTATACTGTTAGGTATGAAAGATGCACAGTTCTAAACTTATTTCTGGTCTTTCTCCGAAGACAGATGAGATGGAGGTGTTTTATGCATGTGTATGTATAACTATATACATATACATGTGTACATGTTCAGACATAGAGAGATAAAAATACATTAGAGAATTATTACATAATATTATATATGTATATATAGTTACATAATGAACATGTATCACTTATATAATCTGGAAAAAAAAAAAAAGAGTATGAGGGGAAAAAACCAAAGGTCACAACCAGAACCACATCTCCCACCACACAACAACGTCTCAACAGTTAACAGCAACTACCTATTTTTGAGAACCTACTACGTGCCACACACTATGCCAAGTGCTTTACAGACATTATTTTACTATTCCTCACAACAACCCTGTAATATTTCCATTTCACAGCTGAGTAAACTAAGGCTCAGAAAAGTAATGTTTTCAAGGTCACAAAGCAGGGTCTGGTAAGGCCAAAATTTTAACCAAGATTTATTTGACCTAAAGCTAGGCTAACCACAGTAATGTCATGGCTTAAATTGTCAATATTTTTGCTAGAATTACAATTTTTAAACACCAAATTAAGGAGATCTGAATTATCATATGATTATTAAACAAGAATGGTAGTCTTGTATAAAAGGTAAAAACTTCAAAACCTCTTAAAAGTATGAAGTCATTTCCATCGCCCTGTGAAGGTCCTTTTATTTGACTACCTTAAAAATAGTCCCCTACAAAATATACGTAGGACAAAAGCAAACAAATCTATTGTCAATCTAATTATTTTCATAGAACACAGACAGTTAAGAGTCCACAGCTATAAGACACTGTGCAGAAAAGAGTTACAAGCAAGCCTGAGACCGTTATCCTTAGAAAGGCCTGTTTGCAAGGTAGGCCATTTGCTGGTGTCTACGAATTTTGATTTCCGGAGGGTTCCCGTTATTCCCTGATAATAACAGCTCGCTATGCCTGAATTGTTCGTGTTAAACAATATGCTTTAGGCTAAACACCTGCTTTCCTCTCGGGAATGTGGAATTTTGGTACATACTAGGCAGACGGTGCCTATGTGACCAGCCCTAAATAAAATCTCTGGGCACTCTAATGACCGTCCCTGGTTCACACATGTTGTCATCACTTGTTAGAGCATCCTGTGTGACTCTACTAGGAGAGGCCTCTGGAAGCTTATGCCTGTTTCTTCCCAGACTCCACACAATACGCCTTTTTCCCTTTGCTGATTTTGCTTTGTATTCTTTTGCTATAAGAAATCACAGCCATGAGTATGAATATATGCTGAGTCCCGTGAGCGCTCCTGGTGAAATCATCGAACCTGGGCGTGGACTTGAGGTCTCCAAACACAGATACAGAAAACAAAACTCAGTTTAATTATTCCTTATATGCTTTTAAAGAACATGTAAGGTTTATCACAAATCCTTACCTCTTCTTTTTTTATATCTTTTTCTTGGTGCTGAAAAAATTCTACCTTTAAGCTTCCTGATGATGGCTGCTCTGGAGGAGGTAGATAACTCTTTGTATTCACAGCATCAAAAAGTTTTTCCACAAATATCTGTGTCTCTAAAAATAAAACCAAAAACCATTGATCAAAGACGTTTGCTAAGATACTAATTCTCCACATCAGACTTCAGTATGATGAAATATATCTTAACTTTTACAAATCTAGAAGTTATACTACCAATAGCTTCCTGACCCGTATGCCATGGCACAAGTCCTGTGGTAATACCAATCCACTCAATTTTTAGAGTGCTAGGGGCTAGAACGGCCAGAGCCTTAACTAAGCTCTAACTAGAATGGCTGGAGCCATAACTAGTCTCCACATATCCCCTCAGTGTGCCAAACACAAATACCATCATTATCTAGATGTTGGCAAAGGGAAGAAAAAGTTGAGAAGCACTGTGTTAGCCAATATTCAAAGTAGTTTCCTAAGGAGTACTATCTTTAAATAAACAAGCATTAAGTCATTTTCTTGATCATTTAAGAAAAACTATCAGCATGCTTTAAGAAAGAGCATAAGGACATTAATGACAGAAAAGGCTTCCATTATAAGCAAGCTATGGATATAACTAGTAAGAATACTGTTTGTTCAACTTTGTTACAATTAGAGCCTGTCTCTTACTGAACTCCTTTAATACTCTGTGGATAATCTTAAATAACTAATTAAAATAAAGTAGTATTTTTAAACCAAAGATCTTACCTTTTTGAAGAAATACATCCAGTTGATCAATACATAATGCCTTTAACTCTTTTTCACTTTTGTCTTTCTTTACCAAAGCGAGAACATATTTTGCTAGGGCTGATGGATCTGCATCACAGCTGAAGAAAAAAACATACAAGGAAATTTAGCCATAAACAACTGCACATTCTGCAAATTCCAGTTACAAATTGATTTAGCTGGTATGATAAGTGAGTTAATATATGTCAAAAGCACCTGGCTCATGGAAGGCAATGAAGAACACATAAGTTCTTCCCTCTTATATTAATATACTTTACATGATATATGTAGTCATCATTCAGCATCCTCCCAAATATATACTAATACGTATTAAAAACTCAGTAAGCTTTTTTTTAATTAAAAACAGAAGTTATAACAAAGTATAAACAACATCAAAACATCAAAAAACTAATATAGTGTGGTAATACTAATAAATACCAAATACCAATAAAATATCAAATAAAATACCAAAAGGCGCCCCCCCCCCAGAATTAGACAAATCATAGCCAGTAAAATCCTGAGAGAGAGGGCAATAAAGGGATATTTGAAAACATATCACACAGTATATTATTTTAACAACAGAAAAGAAAGTCTAGAAATAGATCTAAATATATACAGAAATTTAGGTTTTATAAAGGTGGCATCCAAATCAACGAGGAAGAGGAACTAGGTAATAAATGATATTGAGACAACTTGGCAGTTATCTTTTAAAAAGCCAAATTGGATCCATAATTTATTCCATATATCACAATAAATATAAAACTGTAAAAACATGAAGCCATTAAAGTATTAGAAGAAAACAAGAAAGTTATTTTATAACTCTGGAGTAATGAAGATCTTTTGAATTATGACAGAAAATCCATGTATCACAAGAGTAATTTGATTATACAAAAAAAAAGGAAAAACTTTAGAATGAAAAAAAGTGAAAAAACAAATGAGAAAAAAGCTCAAATAGTTTAACCCATCACAAAAGGTGTTTTCCTAATAGGTAGATTTTCTATAAATCAGTAAAACCAACACCATTAAGAGAAAAAAAACAAACGATACAAAAAAATACTAAACAGAAAAAGAAACAAAAATGACTCAAATATCAGTAAAAGTACAACCTCACTCATAAGAGAAATTCAAACTTAAGCTATATTGAAATATCATTTTTTGGTTATAAAGTTGGCAAAATCTAAAAATATGAAAATATATCCCGGAAGTAAGACTATGGGGAAACAAGCAGTTTTCACATATTGTGGCTGCTGTGAGTAAACTGGTAGCCCCTAGGGTATGGCAGTATCAAGGTCACAAATGCAACTGACCCAGCAATTCTACTTCTATGAATTTACTTTACAGACATACTTACACGTCCAAAATGACATGTATACAAGTTATTCATTGTCACATTGACTGTAAAATCAAAAATTTGCAAACGTCCATTTACAGAGGACTGGAAAAAGAAATTATACTAAATCTATTCAAGGTAATGGCATACAGCAAAAGGACAAAAAAAAAGCATGAGGAAGAGTTTTCATATCATAGAGAAATTTTCATATTAATTTGCTAACTTTAAAAAGCAAGGTAGAGAAAAAACTTGTATAGTAGGTTACCATTTCTGTGGGGAAAAAGGAGAAATTATACATTTGGATTGGCTTACGTCTGAATAATAAATATGTGGAAGTACAAACAAATAACTATGATTTCTTGTTGTGGGGGGGGGGCAGTTCTAAGTCAAGGAGGAACAGGGTCAGGAAAAAAAGTTTCTGGTGCCTGAACTCTCTCTATCCAATTCAAAAACCAGATAACTGTTTTTCAACTAAGCTGAAATTGTTATCTATTTAAAGATCATTTTACAAGTCAGGGTAAGTAGAAACAAAATTACAGCTAATCACTAACATTTACTGAACACCTAGTTTGAGCCATCAACTGCACTCCATACTTTACATACTCTATTTAGCTCTCATATTACTGATGAAGAAATTGAGGCTCAGAAAAAAGCTAAGCAAACTGCCCCAAACTACAAGGAAGTTAGTAAAAGAACCAAGGTTAAACCTAAATTTCTTACTCCCAAGTTGACACTCTTAACCACTACACTAGATTGCCTCATACAATGAGCTGCCCAAAAACCAGACCTCCGATTTACTTACCGCTATAAACACCTTGTTACAGCCACCAACTCCCTATCCGTACAATTACTCCTAGTCAAAACCCACCACAATGCCTCTACCTCCCTATAAGGCACAGTTCCTCTAACTTACCTCCTCTTGTACTCTCCTCTTTCCAGCTTAATTTTCAAAGTCCATTATTTCAAGCAGCCTCTAAACAATTCCTCAACCACGTCTGCCTCACTTTCCTTCCACCATTCTATGTCACCAGCTTGGCAAAATCCCAACCTAGAATCAACCTCCCAGCTTTGATTTAATTTCCTAGCTTGGTAGCATAAAAACAGTAGTTTAGTTTCATGCCAATAACATAAATGATGCTCAGTAAATTAGATTTTCCAAGGATACTGATGACACAAAAAGGCTTAACAATCATAGCTTTAAAAAAAGACAGAAAGGGGTCAGCCACGTGGCATAGTATTTAAGTCCAGCACATTCTGCTTCAGTAGCCTGGATTCATGGGTTTGGATCCCGGGCATGGACCTACACCACTCGTCAAGCCACACTGCGGCAGCGACCCACATACAAAATAGAGGAAGACTGGCAACAGATGTTAGCTCAGGGCTAATTTTCCTCACCAAAAAAAAAAAAAAAAAAAAAAAGATTAGGGAATCACTGCAGGGAGAGATGACTACAAAAGAGCAGCGTGAGGGTGGAGCAGGAGAGGATAACTCAATAATAGTTCATTTGAGGAAAAACAGATACATACATGATACATTTGACATGACATCCTTCAATTCATTTTCATTGCTCTTTCTTGTGACAATTGTTAGCAATTTTAACTCTAACAATAATAAACACAAATAGAGATTCCACACGTTCTACCAAAAGTTCAAATGCTAGAATATTAATAAAGAACCTATATACATTAAAGCTGGAAAATACTGTAATACATTCACCCAAAGTCTTAATGTCTACACATACCTGGAAAATAACAGTTCTACAAAAGTATAGCAGTAACATAGGTCACTCAATCAAAAAGTACATCTTAAAGACAGTGGACAGCTGTGGTTGCAGAGTAGAAAACATCTATGGAAAACCTGACTGCAAACGAATCAACAGGCTTAATTCAACCAGCTGTTTTGCTATATTTGTTTTATAAAGGCTGCAGAAATAAATCTGATAGTGTCAGCGTTGACAACTACTCTATTAAGGAACTAGTATAGCATTTATCATATGCTGTTAAGACTCCCTAGTCTCCATCACTGTGGTAAGTACATGTTCAAATTCTTCACTCTTCTCTTCAAAAGGTAGAGCCTAATTCCCCACCCTTTGAGAATGGGCTCAATTTAGTGACTTGCTTCTAAACAAACAGAATATGGCAAAAGTGATGGTGTCTGACTTCTGAGACGAGGTCATGAAAGGCATTGTAGCATCCTCCTTTCTCTCTCTCTGGAATCACTTATTCTAGAGAAATCAGCTGCTATGTTCCAAGGACACTCAAGTAGCCTTATGGAGAGCACCATGTGGCAATGAAATGAGGCCTCCAGTCAACCGGCAGGGAGGACTGAGGTCTCTTGCCAGTAGTCACATATGAGTGAGCTTGGAAGCCGATTCTACAGTCCCAGTGGAACCTTGAGAAGAATGGAGCACTGATCGACAGCTTGACCACAATCTCATAAGAGACTGTGAGCCAGAAATACCCAGCCAACCTGCTCCTAAATTCCTGACCCACAAGAATAATAAATGTCATGAGATGATAAATGTCTGCTGCAATAGTAGGTTAAGTTTCAGGGTAATTTGTTAGTAATCATAAATTGACTTTTCTCATAGATTATTTCCTTTTATTTACAAAGACATGAAGTGGGTTATAAACTAAACAAGAAGAAAGAAAAAAAATTCATTTCAACGGTAATGTGAAAGATTTTTAAAAACTTTTTCTTTGATATTTATTTCAATATACTTACTTATACCAACAAATTTTATTTTAAATACATACAAAATAATTTATGGTAAATTAATTTTTTCATGTTTTTATCATAAAGAGCATGGAAATACTTAGACCTGTGATGAAATAAGTATGAAGAAATGGGACAATAACGTTATGATATATCTACAGATATACTTATGTCTGGCAATACTGAGAGACCATGAAATAATATTCATGTTAGGTAACCTGAATAAGCAAAATCAACTAAACATTAACCTAACTAGACATCAAGCTAAACTAATACTTCAGTTTACTGGAAATCACTATGATACATAATGCTATCACTGTGTTATACTGTTTCATTGCAATTGATGTTAATAAACAAATTCAGAGTCTTTACACGGAGTCCAAATGCTATAATTTGATCAAATATTGGTTTAATAATTGCCTTTCTAACGACTTAACTGTCACCTTACACTTCTCTTAACTAAGTATCAAATCTATTCCATTCCCACTCCATTATCTTTTAAATAGAACACTATAAAAGTGAATTAAAATGTTAGCAGCCAAAAATCTGGAGAAAGAACTTTGTAACTTTGTAATTATTATGGTCTATAGACCACAGTTTTATAAAACGGCAAGACAGAAATCTTGAACAATCTTTGCTCAACATCTTCTATAGGAAGCAATTCAAATCTGATTAAGAAACAATAAAGGTAAAACAAATCAACTACCATACACAAAAATTCTAAATGCTTGAAACAGTCTGAAAAGATTACTTTTTAAAATTTGTTAGATTGAAAATTATATAGTAGAAGCAATTATATAAGTACTTGCACATTTAATAGCAAAACAGCAAATTGCATTTGGGAGGTAATTTTTCTTAAGCCCTATAAGAAGTCATTTCATTTTATTTCAATATTTTTGAAAACAAAAAAAAGGTATGTACTTGCAAATTATAGCTGAGTAAAAAATAATTTGAACTATGGAAGTTTAATAATACACCAAAACATTACGGATCAGGGATAGAGCGTAAAAATATGTGTTCTCTTTTCTATTTGTTTTAATTAAAAGTGGAAATGTT